GTAGTGCTAATCAGTTTGTATTTGGAGTAATGTGCCTGTTGAGCTGTTTCATGCAGGTCTGAAAGCTCACACATGATACCAGCTCACCTTTATTTTGACGGCTGTGAACAGACATGCTGTCAGCAGTTACTCTGTTAGGATCTGATGGTTTAAGAGGCCTGTGCGAACGTCTACAGCTGGACCAGGACTCGCTCACGTCGCAGCTTCTCTCCTGATTGGAACTTGTTGTTTAGAGCGTTTCAAGGTTGTATTTGCCTTTCGAACCGTGCACAGCGTGAATAGCTTAACAGGCTCCCAGGGAGCTCGCTAAAGCAAAGTACTTTTCATTCTGCTGCTGTTTTCCTCGAGGAAAACCCTCATTCACTGGCCCTGTCCTCACCTCCTCCATAAGTTACAACCAGCCATTTCCAGGTCTCACACTTGCAGCTATTGTGCTGCCACTCGGTGGAGATCGTTTACCGTTAGCTTGTTCAATTAACCCAGCAGGCATCCAGCATGTGTATGAAGCTTGTGGCTGATGGAAAGGTGATCCTTTTACATACTGGGCCGTTTGGATTTTGCCACACAGTTCCTGTGTGAGTTTGGCCTTTCAGTACAAAGGGAGACCTGTTAACCTCACCCTGACTCCAATGTTGTGAGGCTTAAAAACATTTAACGTCCAACCCTGCATCAGACATTTACGTTCTCACGTGCACCTCTGTTGAGTAACGTCCAGAGAAGTGCATGGCTGCATGGCCGCAGGGCTGCAGGGCTGCAGGGCCGCAGGGCATGTGTGAGAATGATGTAAGACTTGGGAATAAAAATAAAGGTTATTTTAAACCGCTGCAGATTAGGTGGCTAAAAGAAGAGCACCGTGCATATGGAAATATGAACACGGCACTTAACATTCCCTGGAAATGTAAAACATTCCCTCGCACCCCAACAGAGGATATCGGCATCTTTCAAAGCCACGACGGAAAATCCTGAGTGAAAAGGGCAAACATCTTGGCAGATATCCTGCCCGCACTGAGGCTCGGTCATTCCGAGGCATACTTTCCACTTAGACCCATCCAGACACTCTAACTGGTTGGCCACTGGCAGAAACGATATCCGCTCCCCGTGTTTTAGAGGTCGTGTGTCCCGTGTAGCCCGAGATGGATGGGATGAGATGAGGGGTCAAGTCCTTGCTCACTCTGTGTCCCACTTTGGTGACAATGAAGCATATTCTGGTTGCTAGCACGCAGCGATCTTGGTGGAGATAAAGGCTTTATTCATGTGCTGCGGGCGGTCACAAAGAGGCAGATACAGCTCATCAGATCACAGGGGACTGGAGGAAGGGATGGAGAGAAGAGAGCGCAGTGACACGACGAATCAGGAGCTGCTTCTTCAACCAGGCGTTTGTGCCTGATGTGTCCAGCCGGGACCCGAGTGCAGCCGAGAGAAGGTGCTCATTAACCTCGTGCAGTGACGGGCATCGCCTCCACCGCCGGCCACACCGGCCCCCCTGCCCCGGGCTGCTTCTGCCCTCGTCAGTGTAATCAGCCGTGCTACATGACCAGATGAAGCCCCTCATTAATGAAGTGTCACAGGGACCGCCCACGCCACCTGTCCAAGTAAAGGACATCTCAGAGCTGCAGCTGAACCTGAGAGTCGTTCATTTGTGTGTGCATACATGTAAAGACCACACATGTGCCCACATGCACTTATGCACAACATACTGGGACCAAAATCTGCACCAGCTGAGCGCCGTATACTGGTCAATACTGGAAGATGGTCCAGTGCAGTGACGGTTATTACTTCAAGACTTCTTGAGCTGTAATCAAGGTTCAGTTGAGCTGTGTGTCTGTGAACACAACGTGTTGTAACATAAGCAAACGTCGTCTCACCTGATGAGTGAAAACGCTGCTTTGAGTCACTGGTTTGGCACCAGTGGGGTAAACACCAGCTCTTGAGCCAAGTTGGCCAAAACTTGGTGAGACTTGGTTTGTAGGTGCCGAAGAGTTTTTATGGACAGAAGAAATCTGCTGGACATTAGCTGCTTACTAAAGAGCCTCACACGAGGTGCCTAAATCAGCCGTCCCCAAGCCCCGAACCACGGCCCGGAACCAAACTGCTCACGGCCCGGAACCAAACCAACCATGGCCCGGAACCAAACGGCTCACGGACCGGAACCAAGCGACTCACGGCCCGGAACCAAACGACTCACGGCCCGGAACCAAACCAACCATGGCCCGGAACCAAACGGCTCACGGACCGGAACCAAACGACTCACGGCCCGGAACCAAACCAACCATGGCCCGGAACCAAACGGCTCACGGCCCGGAACCAAGCGACTCACGGCCCGGAACCAAACGACTCACGGCCCGGATCCAAACCAACCATGGCCCGGAACCAAGCGACTCACGGCCCGGAACCAAACGACTCACGGCCCGGGCCATGAGTCGTTTGGTTCCGGTCCGCCAGAGCTGATGCTCAGGTGTGCAATTTATGGTTTTCAGGGTTTTTATTGTTTTTTTTTTTTTTTTTTTTTTTTTTTTCTTTCTAAATGACATCAGAAACAGCAGTATGCGACATTACGTGATGGCAGAGCTTCAGTTCATCCTTTGTCATTTTTTTTTTTTTTTTTTTTTTTTTTTTTTTAATAAATAGGACAGGGGGAATGAATGAGAGAGAGAGGGGGAGAGAAAGAAAGAAAACCAAAGGGGAGAAGAGACGGTGAGAAGGGGGGGGAAGAGAGACAAAAAAAAAACAAAAAAACTCCTGGGTCACCTGTATGGAGAAAAAAAACAAACAAACAAACAAACAAAAACAAACAGAGGAGACAGCAAACAACAAAGAGCAACATAATAATAGAGAAAACAAAGCACCATCACAATAAACTAGCTAGTCATAGATATCAATATTTACTAAATAATAAACGATATTGTGCAGCACGCAAGATAGACAGCGCACAGTGTGCTTTGAGGCAGCAGCCAAGAAAGCTTTAGTCCGCGTCTGTGAATACCCATGTGTGCATACCTGTGTGGATCAGCATGCTTGCATTCCAAAGGTTTCTCCATGTAATGATCTGCTAGGGAGTGTGGGGGGGCCACAGCCCCGTCCTCCAGGGTGTGAAGCGGGTATGGAGGAGATCAAAACTCCAGACATCCAGAGGCCCCCAGAACACAAGAGACCAAGGAAGACCAACAGAGGGGCAGCCGCGCCACTGTCCCAGTAAGAGCTGAGGAGAGTCCCAGATGAGGGCTCGCCCAGCAGCCGCGGAGCAGAAGTCAGGGGGAGTTGCAGTGACGCGCCCGTGAGCTCCGCCGGCCCCCAGCTGCGCCTGAGTGACCGAGCCCTAGGCCGAGAGGCCGGGGGCACCCCACCTCCAAAGGGGCCCGAGCGAGCCCCAGGCCCCAGGCCCCGACAAGCGGCCGCCAAGGAGTGAGCCGGTGTGTACCCGGACGCCCACCCCCAGACACAAAGAACCACCAACACACCGACACCTGAGGGAGTCCGCCAGGGTTTTTATTGTTAACTCTGTTTCCCCGGGTCTTTTCCCGTGTTGTAGTTGTGTGTCTTATTTTGAAAGAAATGTTTATGCGTTACCATAGCGATCAGAGAGCCAGAGAGGAGGATGTTACTCTCAGTGTTGTTGGTGCATTTCAGGAGGACGCTGCTAATAAAGTTACACAGTTACACATTGATTTCATGTTTATATTATATTTACAGAATACCACAGTTTCTGTCTCGGTCGTATCATTTTATTTTGTTGTATTTATCCGCGACACCTTAAAGGCCGGTCCATGAAAATATTGTCTGACATTAAACCGTCGGTGGAGCAACAAAGGTTGGGGAGCGCTGGGCTGCATGATTAAACATGCAACACAAATTGATGAAACTTCTTAAAATTCCTTGAAGAGTTTCAAGGAAACTCAAAGTAAAGCACTTTGTGACTGTCTGAGAAAAGCGCTTAATAAATAAATTCTACTTACTAACCAACGCTCCAAAAACACTCAAAGCTTTGGCTCCTGTCTGCTGCAGGCACTGCTGAGTTACTTGTTTATGAAATAATGAATGCAGTGCATAAGTTTGTCTTTGTTCAGTCCTACTTTTCATTTATTTATTTCTTAAAATGCTTTTTACTTTAATAACCCTGAACGTGGTTAGACCAGGCGCAGGTATAAGTCAGCTTTGTGGTTTTCTGTCAGCTGATACTTCAGCGCAGGTTTTAGTGGGATTCGTCTCTTTGCTGCAGCACCATGCAGTAGTTCTACTGCCTGTCTTTGATTTCCAGCTGAACTGTAGCAGGGATGACGTGGCTGAATTTGAGAGTAGATGAGGGTTTTATTTGTCCTCAGCAAAAGTTGGAATTCTAACAAAAAAGAAAAAGAAGCCTGGGAGGAAGGAAGGAAGGAAAGGAGGGGTGATGGGAAGCGTGGATGGACAGGTTTTGATCAGGCCTGTGTTTCTATAAATAGCTCATTCTGCCTTCATCTGTCTGTTTTCACCCAATCACCACGCTGCCTCAGTCCAAAAGTCGCTATTGATTAAGGACAGAAGCAGACGCGCTCTGCTCGGCGAACCTCGCATACAAATCTGTGACTGCCGATTTATAGCTTAGGCTTGTCGCATAATCCCATTAGAGTCCTTTAAGCAAGGCATCTTCAACTGATCCTCCTGCTTTGAAAAGTGGGGAGAGGTCTCCTCCTTCTCTGACAGGGAGGACGAGGAGGAGGATGAGGAGGAGGAGGATGGTGGTGCCGCTTTGGAGTCACATGACTGATTTGTGTCTGTTGCAGGGAGTGCAGGCAGCTGGCCAAAGTCGTCCCTCCCTCTCTCTCCATCCTTCGCTCTGTCTCGCGCTCTCTCGCCCTCGAACACACGCGTTCGTTAGCGCGCTACAGCAGATTGCATGCGTGCGTCCGTGCATGAGTGCTGCCGCCAGCTTCTGCAGATACACATGTGGTGACCGTGTGCCGTGCTGTGGCCCGAGCTGCCCGATCACTAACCATGTCCCTCTTGTGTTGCTTCTCTCTCAGGGACTATGGCTCCAAGCGCAAGTCGGGTAAGTCCAATGTTTTTCTTCATAGCTCTTCCTAAAGTTGACTTTAACCTTCCTTCTCTTTCCACTTGTTGCTCCTTGAGATCCACATCCAGGGGGGTGGGGGGGGTTGTGTCACGTACGAGTCTTAAACAGGACTGCGGATTGTCTGCCGCTCATGTGATGTCAGTGTGTGGTTTGTAAACTAGCCCCGCTCTGTGCTTTGGGCTGGGTTCAAACAGCTGTCAGGCTGTTTCCTTCTGGCTGCAGATTTGCCTCACAGCCCAGGGTGGGGTTCAGAAATATCTAGTAGCTTTTTGGCACGTCAGAATAAAGTCGTTAGAGATCTGATGCGATCAGAACGACTGGATTGTTTCCCCGAGTCTTCAGTCGAAGTGGCAGGCAAAGCATTCTGGGTGACACACGTCTAGTTTCCTTAATAATTCAACATGAAGATGAAGGGATGTGTCTTTGTCAGCACAGGTGCGTCTGAAGGTACGGAGATCAACCTGATCATTGGCTGTCACACATGGTTGTAACAGAATAAGGTTAATAGCATTCAGTAATAAATGTCATGGCTGGGCTAATAAGCAGAAAACAACCATCTGACTGTAAAACCGTGACTGTGAACGAGCTTTAGCCTCATTAAGAAGGTATTAGCTACAGAATAGCTGCTTAACAAAAGACTGGTACATGTGAGTCCCTCATCTATGGGAACCCTGCATGTTTAAGGCTGTAGAAATGCCTCCTTATGAATTATTGAAGGGAAAATGCAGGAAGTAGGCTGTGGATATCGGAGACTATGGTTCTCTTGGCCTACTTGATGTCTTGATTTCCAAGCAGCTTGAAGGTTGTGATAGGTGATTTCCTCTGAGAAGAACACTCTGGCAAATGATCGTGAGTTTATTTTTGGCCTGAAAGCACAGAGCTGCGAGAGACGGGTTATTATTCAGTTACGTCCACGTACCTCGCAGTGATTTGATTTCTCGGAGGCTGATTGCTTCTGCGGAAAAGCAGCTTGTGATTTTTCACTGCAGGCTCTGAGGCAGGCGGCTCCTGTAACATCCGCGTCTGCCGACGTAGTCTTTGGGATGCTGCCCGGTTGGACGGCAGCCCACTGACCCACTCGTCTCTGCTGCAGCACGACCTCAAGTATCATGAAGTCAGTCAGTGTTGCAACAGGGTGTCTGAACTTCTACTTTAAATTTCAGAGAGATTACAAAACGTCTGAAACATTTCAGTAAGTGCAAAGTAAAGGAACAGTATCTGTTAACGAAGGAAAGGCAACACACTTCTTCTGTGGTTTGGTTCTGGCAGAGACCTGGAAATGGCAGAACCAGTTCGAGTCCTTATATACCAAACATGTCAGAGTTTACACGCAGAGGTGGTGAGTTACGCAAAGCTGATTAAACCGTTTAGCTGTCGAACGTTCAAACCGTTCACTATCTGCTGTACGCACAGAGAAACCCCCACAATCCATCCTGGTTGCTCCTGTTCATTTACCAACATTTACAGTCACAGCTGTTAGTCTCACTGTTCATTCTTCTTCATACTGCAAGTCATCATCGTCTTCTCCGTACTTCCTTGTTGAAGTTTGAAGGGACGGTCCAGTTTGGTTTAAACGTGACCATTAAAGCTCATCACAGCTAACATCCAGCATGACCTTTAACCTTTCACATCCACACTGCAGAACAGCGTCTTTGTGACTCACATGTCCTTTGAAATAATTTCACATTATTGATTTAATAATGAATTATGGTCAGCTAACTGTTTTAGCGTCCATCAACAGCTCTGTGCCAAAACGTAGGCTGCGTCCTCCTGAGGCCGATTACGACGCGACGAAGATTTGAAGGATGGGTCGGGTGTGTCCTTCGTGGCCCACCATATCCCAGAATTCATAGCGTGGCCCAGCCAACTCCAGTTTCCAACAATGGCAGCTACTCAGTTTAAATATTACTCTTATTAATCTTTCTGGGTCACAAAATAAACTTTTAAGATATTTTCAGGCGAGACTGTGGCTGTGCAAACTTCTGTTTGTCAAGACATCACATACTTGCAAGATTGGTCCAATGTTTTCGGAGACGCCTGTTACCCACCCGCTCGATAGCTGACCGGGAGGTCAAGGGTCACTCGAGCCGACGATAACAGCCCCCCCCGCCCCGCGCTCTTTCCCTACTCAGGTTTAGCGTAATATATGAGTCACTTAGATAATTTAAAAATGTTATTGTTTGGCTTTTTTCAGTGTTTCATTTGTTCCTGAGTAGAGGGACAAGAAGGCTAGACCGTCCAGTTTCACGGCCCACGTAGACTGCGGAGGCCGGGGCCACAGGAGGATGCGGCCTAGGAATTGGGACACTGCTAATGTTAGCTTACTGTTAGCATTGTACTCCCGACTGCTGGCTAACAGTTTAACAGCTAGCTATACCTTCAGCTTAACACATTTTGTTGATTATTAGCTAACAATATATTCATGCCTATAGTATTAGTCGATACCTTTGGCTAATTTAACACTTTACTTTTTGAACGGTTGCTTATTTTATTATTATTATTAATCAAGTCATTAATCAAACTCCGGCTCAGACGTGTTCAGCTCAGTTTTTTCTTCCCTGGTTTTTCATGTCTGACTCCTGCAGGGCTGTTCGGCTCACTAAATGTCATATTGAACAAATCTCTGACCTGACAGTTCTCCACCAACACCAGGCGTCTGCAGTAACTCCTGTTTTCTGTCGTCTGCACTAATTAGCCTGATTAGGAGACCCTGGCTGTCGCTGTGCTGCGCAGACGACACGGACGATCTGCTGATGCTTTCAGTTTTCCTCTTCCAACAACACAGGACATAAAAATGAAGAACTAGTCCTTCATTTATTCCACAAACGAGACATAAAGCACAGCTTTGTGTTGGCAAAAGTAAAAATTGGTTTCTTATCATTGTTGTTTAATCGTTTATAAGATGAAAGAACATAATGGAAAGAGAACAGCTGATCACTGGTGACAGCTGCAGATGCTCATCTGTGATGGAGGGTTTGTGCGTCGTGAGGCTTACAGGAAACCAGTCTGAGTGCTGGTTATTATTCTCTGGCCTTCACATTGTGAAATCATAGGCAGGTTTAGTCTGTTGCCACATTATTGTGTTTGGCCTTCCTTTGTTTGCTGTGCGCAGAGATGATGTTGGTTGCATCTGCCAACAGCCGTCCTGTTAATTTGAAACAAACCGTTGGTGGCGGTGCATCCGTCACTTCCCCCGAATCAAAACACTTTTCGCAAAAACACAAGATGTTTCTCACAACAGACGTAAACTGATTGTGTAACTACACAAATTCACAACAGATGAGATGGAAGTTGTGTCGCTTGTTTAGCGCACGTAATCCCCCACGATGAAGGCCAGACGCCATAGACGTGATGAACAGTCAGCGTTTGTCGCTGACGCGGTCGTTTGCAGGTCTCTCGGACGTCAGGCGGACACGTGTGAGTTAAACATCGTCAGTTTGAGGGGAGCGCGGCTCGTACTCCTCCGTGTGAGAGGAGCGGGCGGAGGAGGGAGGCGCAGCTGTGCGGCAGGAGCGTGTTTGTTTACGTGGCGCAACAGATAAGATTTCAGACGTGTGTGTGTGTGTGTGTGTGTGTGTGTTACAAGCTGTACAAAGTCATTTAGCAGTTTTACAGTCAGTGTTGAGCAGTTTGCATGTAAGCTGTCCACCTCAGGCTGCTGTTTGCACATCAGGAGCTCCTCTGTCAGCGCGCACACACACACACACACTCACACACACACACACACACACACACTTTCATGCTCCATCAGCTGCCACTTTGTAACGATAAAACTCTTGTTTTTGTTGACTCCTCCTCTAACGTCACTCTGAGCACCTGTTTGAAGCATGATGTCAGCACAGTGCTGGGTCGACTTCAGCTGAAAATGATCATTGTCTTCTCGAGCTGCATCCACGAGGCTTTGCAGTAATACGGAGCGGCGCGAGTTCGTCCCAGAGGAGCGCTCATTTAAAATTGGAGGAGGTGATGTTTGAGATGGAGGCGAGCCGGGCTGGATTGGGGAGAGGTTGGACTGAAGCGACGGCGTCCTTTGTGGGCAGATGTGATTTGAGCTCCTCGCTGAGATCGGGGGGGTTTCACTGGAGTTTGACCTTCACGCGTCTCCTCCTCGTGTTGTTTGCACACAAATGTCGTTTGTCTCTGATGTTTGCGTCGCAGTCAGACTCGGCGTCTCTCCTCGCTAAACGTGGCATCAATGCGAGTTAGGTTTTGCCCGCGGTTTGACATTGTTAGTGTCCCCGTCGGCCGCTGTGCTTTTTCACGAGCGCTGAATCGATGCTGGTTTCTGTGATTTGTTACTGGTCCCTTTTGTCTTGGTGACGGGGTGATGGTGTATCCTTCTGTGGTAGCGCAGTGTTGGCTGGCTGTGTAATGACCTTTCAGAGGTAAGGCTGGAGCTTCACTTTGACATTTTTAATGGGGATTAATGGACTTTGCTTATCTGATAAATATTTAAAAGTGCAGAGAAAATGCTCGCGTACTCCACCCAAATTAAATATTCTATTATAAGTGTCTTTGGCTCCGTCTCCCCCCGACAGGCTCAGCCTGCTCCCCACTCTGTTCAGCACCAGTTCAGCACCAGTTCAGCACCAGTGGGTCCCAGCTGTGTGCAGTTAGGTTCATGCTCTGTGTCTGACCCCAAAGCTTGGACCTCCTGATTAGATAATGACTGACTGAGACATTAATCGCTTACACATTCTTGTATTCAGTTGTGCTGTGTGGGAATGTAGCTGTAGCTTTCCTTGTGCTTTCTTCTGATGTTGAAATGCAAACGTTAGCATGCTAAACTGCAGCGGTGCGCATGCCAACCATTGTAGCTGCTAGCATTGTCACATCAATGGCTAACTGACATTAGCACTTAGCACAAGGTACCACTGTGCAGACTCTCAGAGCTAGCGTCGGTGTTGACGCCACGTGCAGCTTTCAGCAGGTGCTGCTACTCAGACGTGTTTGGTTGACTGATGGTGAAGAAGCGTGACGATCACGGCGGTTTTGGTAGTTTGCTGGTCTGAAGCATTCAGGTCCAAGGTCAGAGAAACTCCTCACATCAGCTGTCAGTGGCACGGTGGTGGAGGGATGATGGTTTGGGCACCGAGCAGTCGCTCAGTAGATGCTGAACACTTCTGTTTACCAAAGTATGACACAGATGTGAAGCCGTCTGTCTGTCAGCTACACGACGGCGATCACAGCACAGCAGCGAAAACACTACGTCCAGATGAACTTCACCATTCATTATAAGATTATTTCCTGTTTTTACTCTTGTGGCAGATCATGTTTTCAGTCCATTTTCTTATAAATTGGTTGAAAATCTCTCTGATAGTTTCATGGACACTACAAACATCAGCAGCAAATCAGACGCTGATTTTGGGGGAATTTAAATGCATCATATTGAGATTTCAAATCAAAGCGTTCTTGCTTCCTGTTGTGCTTCAGAAAAGTCGTACAGATATGCACTCATGCTGGATGTCGTAGTCCTTACAGTCCTCAGGCAACGCGTTCATCTTGTTGATGGACTGATTTGTCAGGATGTGCTGTACTGTCAGCAAAATCAACTTTTGTACTTATCATCAACTTGTTGACAGAAAAACTGGACACAGCTGATAGGCCCCTCCAGTCCAAACACAGAGAAAAGTACCTCAGAGACGTCACTTCTGACGCTTAATTGCTGGGTAATGTAGACGTTTGGGGTCAGAAATGCAGGAAAATTACAGAGGAAACGCTGCCGGGTCGGCTGGTGTGTGGCATCATCTTCCAAGCCTGAAAAGAATTAAGTGTCCGTGTGCGTGTTTGTTTGAAGGGGGAGAGGGTTAGTGTGGAGAGCAGAGCTAATATCATTCAGATGTTGCGAGCGGCTCTGAGAGCGGCGGGTGGGGAATAATAACGGTAGACTGTCAGTGTGTAGGGTTTGACCCTGGCTGACCTGGGACCAGCCGTATCCCACCCTGTGGGGCTAACTTCAATCCACCGGAGCTCCCGAGGCTCAGGAGGACGACGAGAGGGGATTTAGCTTTTATTATCTCACGTGAGTCCACGGAGGAGAGCCGCGGCCTCACGACAGGGACGGCGCCCAGTACAGCCGCGAATCAGAGCGTCCGTTTACCTCAGTGCTGAATTTGAATGTGGACTCTGCTGTGCTTTATTTGATAAAGACCTGCTTCTGATCATCTTTGAACTGCTGTTCGCTCAGAAAACATGCGCACAAACCTTTTTTCTGTTTGGCTTCGTTTTTGTTCCAGTTTAGATATTTAACACTTCTGGCTTTAAGCTTTTCCCATCTTACAGAAGTCTGAGAACCTGCTCAGCCGCCTGCTGCCGTCAGCATTGTGTGCTGCAGAAAACAGATGATGTGGTTGGAGTATTCACTTCTCGTATGTGTGCTGGTGTCCTGAACGACTCCCTGTAGTGCGCTCCACACTCACTGTCTGCCGTTTTATTGGAGTGTAAACCTGTCAGAAATGCTCGTTTGATGCTCGTTTCCACAGCTTTGATAGAAACACTGTTTCGTCAGACTCGTTTACCCTGTTTGATATTCAGCTTATTTATACTGCAACGCTCCACATACATAAGTTTATCCTCGTGTTTATTCTTTAGTGTTCAAATGAAACATTTTCACCGATTTGGCCCCGAAACAGAAGACTGCCACCGGCCGGGTCACCAGCGATCCGCTGGGGTCGGGTTAGGGCTGCGTCTCAGCCGCACAGTCGCTGTTTCCAGAACTACGAGACGCTTCAGATGAGGTGCTGTAGATGCATTTAGGCCTCTGCCGTTGGGTTAAATAAGCTGCGTCATTTCTAGTGTTGTGGAGGCGCCTCCACGCTTTGATCCTTGCTATGACTTTGACGTGCTTCTTTGAGTTTGGTCTGGTTCGAGACGACGCTTTAAGTCATCACAGTGTAGTCGCTGTGTCATGCTCGCACCTCCCCGTCTCCTCTGATGCATTGCGTTTAATTTCCTGGTTTGGGGCTGCTGGTGTTTTCGGTGTGGAGACGGGAGCGTCTTTAGAAGTGGCTCACGCCCCTCAGACATTCCTCACACAGCGATGGAAGAAATGGAGAAAGATGAAACGGGGGTGGGATGGGTGTAGCGAGAAGTGGAGCTGGTGTGTCATTCCTGGATCCGGTGCTAAATGTGAAAGGATCTTATCTGTGCCACGTTTTATTTCGTGTTCAGTGGGTGTGAGAGCGGCGTGCTGCAACATAGTTTTGCTTCTGCATGCCGTCAAACTGAATAATCTCTCTCTGCTTCTTTCCTTCCTTCTCCTCGTCTGCAGTGTGGATGTACGGCTTTACAGACAGCCCGAGGAAAGAGGCCTCAGGTAGATATGCATGCGCTGCTGTGCTCGCGCGACATGCTAGCTGCATCCCTTTTAGGTTTTCGGTTTATTTCTTTTCGCACTTCAGCTTTCTCTCAACATCTGCTTTGCATGCTCCCCCCTCTTTCCCCCAACCCATCCGCTTAAATTCAGCTTCTCTGTCTGCAGCGTTCTCATCCATCTCCGGGTGGATAGAGCTGCTGGAGCCATAAAGCAGCTGGCTGCAGAACGTGGACTTCAGGCCTGCATGTGGTGCATGAAGTGCATTGGTGTGAAATAAGGTGTCAAGTCTGATCTTTCACATTTGTTTTGATCGCTGCCGCTGAGCTCCGTTAACTGTGGGAGTGCAGGAATGATGAGTGAGGGCGACCAAAGAAGAACAGCTGATGTTCCAGCTGAGAGCATTTCTCCTGACAGTATACAAGCGCGTAGCTTCGTGTAGCTTCACGTATCCGAGGCTCAGATATCAAAAGTTGTTCCTTAAAACTGTCAAAGTGCTGCTTTGGGACAAAAAGTAATTGTAAAACTTTCTCAAACATTATTAACTTAGACAAGGAATGTTTTGCAATCGGTTCTGGAATATAGAAGAAGAAGGAAAGCGGTCTTTATTGCTCAGCAAGGCGTGGTTGCCATTACCGCAGCGTAAAGCTTTCAAATAGCTGGATCTGTGCTGCTTTATTACTTCAGGCTGGCTTTGACTGCGTCCTCCACGTACGCTGCTTACTCACTCACACATTAATCCTGCTGGAGGAGATGCTAAAGTGGAATTCCCGCCCTCACCCAGTGGTGAAGTAAATTTATGAGCATTCCAAGGTGTTCGATGCCAGTCCTGCTTCACATGCGAAGATGCTTAACTGTGTTTTAGGCGTACTAAAGCACTAAATGCCTAACATTTTCCAAGATGCTTCAATGCTAGCTGCATTCTGTGTACTGCAGGACTAAAGACAGTTAACCTTAACAGTGGGGTGTCCAGACTCTCCCCCAGAGATAGGGTGAGGAGTTCGGCTGTTCAGGACAGGCAGCGAGCAGCGTCGCTACTCCATCATCTGACTGCCTCCTGGACTCCTGGGAGGACACATAAACCAGGGGTGGGGACCTCCAGGCCTCGAGGGCCGGTGTCCTGCAGGTTTAGATGTGTCCTTGATCCAACACAGCTGATTTAAATCGCTAAATGACCTCCTCAACATGTCCTGAAGTTCTTCAGAGGCCTGCTAAGGAACTAATCATTTGATTCAGGGTGATATCTAAAACCTGCAGGACACCGGCCCTCGAGGCCTGGAGGTCCCACTCCTGCTATAGACGGATTATAGGTGGATCTAGCTGGTGTGATACCATCCACTGGTTTCTGAAGTCTCGGTTTGAAGACTCAACGTGAGTCTTTTCAGAATCGTCATCGTGGGGTTTTAAAACCAGACGTGATGGGGGGGGGGGGGGGGGGGGGCACTCAGCACATCCGGTTTCAATCACAAGCTGTTTGCCAATGTCAGGATTAATTAAGTTTTTTATTCAATATGATCCCAAATACGTGACCATAGGCTCAGCAGATCAATGGTATCGCCCCCTGGTGGTCATTATAAAGAAGAGGAGTTTGAGTCTGTTCCACATTGATGTCACCTTTGAGATGTAGAAGCGGTGTCCAGAGACCCCGGGACAGACCCCGATGACGTCTCTCGACTGGCTCGTGTCTCATCTCCTCCCAGAGGAGCTGCTGAACCACAAATCACACATGTGGCAGAAATGGACGAATTTTTCATTTTGTTCGCTAAAATCTAGTGAAATCGAGGGTTTTGGAGTTCAGGGTAGGAGTTATGGCCTGTATTTATATAGCGCTTTTCTAGTCCCTAAGGACCCCAAAGCGCTTTACATATCCAGTCATCCACCCACACATTCACACACTGGTGATGGCAGCTACATTGTAGCCACAGCCACCCTGGGGCGCACTGACAGAGGCGAGGCTGCCGGACACTGGCGCCACCGGGCCCTCTGACCACCACCAGTAGGCAACGGGTGAAGTGTCTTTCCCAAGGACACAACGACCGAGACTGTCCGAGCCGGGGCTCGAACCGGCAACCTTCCGATTACAAGGCGAACTCCCAACTCTTGAGCCACGATCGCCCCCGATCACCAGTAATGACCTCAAAGGGTCCGGTTATTGGACCAGTTTGGAAAGTGTGTGTTTTATAGCGTTTTGGCCCCACAGCAACTGTTTATTTTTACTTCCTGCATTAACGTTCGGTTCCTGAAACTCTCGCTAAAGCGTCTCTGTGAACAACAGGATGTGGAGTAATTGCTAGTCAAGTTCATCTGAGTCTGCATGGGGTCACCTCCCTGTGGCCAAACAGGCAAATAAGCGTTTCTGATAGGCAGCATGTGACTTCAGCAAAGCGCTGGCGTCTAAGAGGTTAAACACTGGAGCGGAGGGAGAAAACAGAGCGGGTTAACCCAACTGCAACTCTTTCTTCTTTTGTTTCACGTAAACATGGACCCAGCCTCCTCCTCTGTTTCTCTCTCTCTAGTCGCCTCATATGTTTCTATTTAAGGCCAGCAGTGCCGACTGCTATGATTGGTGTGCTCACCCCCCCCTCAGACTCCCCCGTCCAACGGCTGGCTCCCAGAGGCGGCGGAGGGGAGGCCTTTCCTCTCAACCGCACTGTTGATTTTCCACAGGGAAACTTCACCATTCCTCCACTCATTCGTTCCCCAGTCTTCCCTTCAGACCGTTAGCAGCTCTGCTGTTTCTCCTTTTTCTTTCCCCCCTTTTTTCTCTCTCTTTCCTTTTTGGATTTGGGAGTTTGCCTCAGGTCATGGATCCTCTGTAGATGTCAGATGGAGCGCCTACAAACTTCTCCCTTCGCTTCTTCGCTTGTGTTTTGACTCCTTCCAATGCTCCTCGGTCGTTCGCTGCGGGCCAAGGGTCGACTCAGCTGTATGGCCAGACGTTTGGGACTATGCAGCCAAGTCGTGTGGTCGCATTCTGATTGGGCAGGGACGCACAGCGGCGGGGAGCGGGGTTCGGCCGATGGAGACGTACCGGGCGCGCGGCGGCAGCGCGGTTGGTTGCGGCGGGCGTTCGCGGGGTGCCACGGCGGGCAGGTGGCTGACGGCCTGTTTCTTCCCCTCAGGGATTGACAGCTCGGAGCCCATGGTGCTGGAGCAGTACGTAGCCGTGGCCAACTACGAGCGGCAGGAGAACTCTGAGATCAGCCTGAAGGCCGGCGAGACGGTGGACGTGATCGAGAAGAGCGAAAGCGGTGAGTGGATGTTTTTTTGCTCTCAGTTTACATGCCGAGCATCAAGTGCTGACTTAGATCTACAACCAAACATCGTAGCTCACAGGTGTTGTGTTGAAAACAAAGGAAAAGTGCGTTTTCTGCACACGCTTTGAACTGCTTGACATGTAGTTTGATTCTTCCTGTTTGTACAGTGGCATAAACACACAAAACCACGCTCACTCAGCGCCTCTCTGGATGCTGTCTCCTGTCCTCTTGATTATGTTTCCTCCTTTTAAAACCCCGTCATGTACACACGGCTGCCTCCTGCGTCTCCTGGCTGGGCTTGGCACCACCTGGAGGTGCTGTTTGGCTCTGAGAAGTCGGGTTTGTGGACAGGAATGTCCAGTAATCATATGTGTGCACACACACCACCTCGACAGAGTTTGCTTCATCAGCAGACGCTCCACGCTCTACCTTGCCTTTCCCCCGTTGGAATTCTGTTTAGCGACCTCGGAGCTGGATCTGATTTTCCGTGCTAACAGCCACTGACAGCCAGCAGCTTGCACAACTCACAGCAGAAACTCTGGCACAGACACAGCACGTCGCTGCGTCTCTCAGCTCTTATCTGTACTCTGATTACACATGAGTCCATACTCTTCGAGATATCCGGAGCTCGCACATCTGTGATTACGTGCACTATTGAGTCCGTTTAGGCTGCAGCTCAACATTTTTCACATCTTTGTTTATTTGGCGTTTTGTTTGTTTGCAGTTTGAACACATCAGCATAAATGAGACGATTTTTTATGGGAAGTTTAGAGAGAGCGAAGGCGTCGCATGGGAAGCTGGTCCTGTCTCGATGAGGAAGACGAGAGAACTGCAGCTTTGTTTATGATGTTATGAAATATCGTGTAGGACGAAAACAGTTTTACTTTTTGAAAACATGACATTCCTTTGAACTTGAAAGATAATGTAAATACATGAAAGCAAGTAATGCTGGAAAAGGTGAGCGTGTGGTGGGACACGGGCTCAGCTGACTGTACAACCCCTGCAGCGACTCGATGTTTCCAGGTCGTACAGCTGGTCCATACGTGGGTGGCGTGTGGTGAAAATCTCACCTGATCAAACTTTTTATGACTTTTTCTAAAAGTTTTTGAGTAAATGAACGGTTTAGAGTTTAGAGGTGGGTGAAACATTTCATCATCATCCAAATGACTTCTTCAGGTTCCTCCAACCTTCCAAAGAGCTCATTTGCATAACGAGCGCACCGCAGACTTGTAGGTCAGCGATGGTCGTTCCTTTTTATCACCAATGGCTCCTTGACTCCTCGCTCACTTGATGCATATGAAAGAAAAAAGGACTCATATAGTTTGTTTTTGTTTTCATAATCGTTCAAAGCTGAAACTGTAACAAGAATAAAAACCAGTTATTAATGTCAAGTGTTCTTAGAAACTCTCGACTCTTCTGATATAACTTTGATCGCAGGCACCGTTTGGTGTTAGGCGCACGCATCGCTGAACGTTTTATGTCATGAATATTCATGTTGGCTCAAGTTGCACAGTAGTTTCTCCCTGTGATCCTGTTTCTGTGCATGAGGCCTGACAGCAGCTGCTCACCAGGCGTGTTTAAAAGCAGCGTGGATGCAGAACTCGGAGCGATAGGAGCGGCTTCTGAGCTCTCGGGAACTCTCGTCTCAGAGCTGGATGTGTGCGCTGTCGTCATCTGCTGAGCCAAGGAAGTGGAGCAACGGTGATGATGATGATGGTGACATCACTTGGAGACTATGCCAAGGCAAACACATCTGAGAGCTCGAATAATATCCCACAACCCCCTTCCTGCTTTTCAAGGCTTTCCTGCAGCCTCCTGGTCCGATGTGCTATGTTCTGTCTTCAATGCAAAGACACTGACACTGGGGCTGTTAGTTACAGCTTATTTTCTTTTAATGCGTGGAGTGGAGTGGTATTTTATCCTCTGATCCTCTCCAGGAAATGTTGAAATCCTTTTGTGTGCCTGATCTTTTTCATTCACATGCACATTTTCTTTTCTCTGCACACTCGACACACATGTTGTTATGCATTTGCTTTTATTTATTCCAGCAGAGAAGAGTTCAGTCGGGTTTTTCAAGTGTCTGCAGGCTTGACCTGACATAATTACGGGTTCAACCGTGGAGCCGGATGTCGTTTATTTTTGCCTCTATGAGAAGCTATTGGCCTTACAAGTCAAGACCCAGCTGTTTCACTGCAGTGTCGACAAGCTCCGTCATCAGACTGGAAACTGGTTAAGTCATGAGCTCTGTGAGGTGGTGTGCATGCAGCTCGCTTTGTGTATCATTGAACAAGTATCTTACAATTTAGGAGCTGCTAATCTAGTAAAAATAGATTTATGAAGCATCAGGGGGATGGGGCGAACCAGAATCGGTCTGGGCCACCATCCGGGATCTCTCCCTCTGGTCTGGACATGGGAACCATTCAGTGTCTGGAGAGGCAATGTTCCAGCTGGAGAAAATAAATCTGCATATGTGACGAGTTAAATTATATGATGTGTCGGAGTAAGAGGAGGCAGTGATGTGAAGGGACAGAGAGGGAAGGCTGGTGTTTTTAATTAGTCACAGACCTGCGTTATAGCTGGTGCTTGATCAAAAAAAGTGGTCCCTGTTCCACTCTCCTGGTCCCTGACCCACTCTCCTGGTCCCTGACCCACTCTCCTGGTCCCTGACCCACTCTCCTGGTCCCTGACCCACTCTCCTGGTCCCTGACCCACTCTCCTGGTCCCTGACCCACTCTCCTGGTCCCTGACCCACTCTCCTGGTCCCTGTTCCACTCTCCTGGTCCCTGTTCCACTCTCCTGGTCCCTGACCCACTCTCCTGGTCCCTGACCCACTCTCCTGGTCCCTGGCCCACTCTCCTGGTCCCTGGCCCACTCTCCTGGTCCCTGTTGGTTATGATGAAGCATGTGTGGCCTGGAGGGATCTCAGGGAATTTGATGAGGATGATCGAAACACCAGCTCGTCCTGCCACAGCAGTCCCAGAGAGTCACTGTCATGGTGTACTCAAGTGCCTCTGGCATCCTGTTCCACTCTCCTGGACTTTGCCATGGAGATTAAGCAGGTATCTTCTTATCTCAAAAAGACCTTGTAATGCAAAAATGTAGTTTTTACTCAGCGAGCATATTGACATGCTCGCTGTGGCAGTGTTTTAGCCACCTGCTGCCACCAAAAGGCTGACGGGGTATGCTGTCTCCCAGCATGGGTGGTGTGGGCACCTAAGTTTGTCAATGTGATAACTCGAGAACGAGGAGACACAGGAGCTTCAAACTGATGCCAAAGTGTATCTACTAAAATTCTCAAACGAGTTTGAATCTCAGTGACTTTGACCTCAACGTCAGCGTAAACCGACGTAAAAACCTTGTGAATGTCACAACTTGTAAGTCATAGATGTGTCGATCTTGCGTCATGGGGTTGGAGAGAAGTCGAGGATTGCCTAGATTTGCCAGATCTAGTGACAAACATCCCTGCAGTCTGTTTATCTGCATTTTATATGAAACTAGGGAAACAACATGGAATTGATTACATTTCATCACGACGCTGAGACATTTCACAGCAGAGTTGGAGTTTGGACATTTATTGTTGCCCGTGACAACAGTTCAAAGCATTGCTAAAGAACTGAGGATCCGTCCACTGGTGCTGTGGACGTCTGTAGCAGACTCCGTCAGTCCAGCAGATACAAAGAGTCAACGAGTTTCATTTAAAACCACAGGAGGAGGCTAATGAGAACACAGCAGTCATTATGGTCCATTTTGAGGAGACCACAGTTCAGTCTGGTCCGTAATGGTAGACCAACAAACAGCTTTCCTCCAGGCACCTCTACAAAACGAGTGCCTGCTTGGCAGACTTTTTATGACTCCACAGGTTAATTGTTTCTGGTTAAATTATGCTTGGATCTGTTGGTTTCAGGGCTGACTTTATGTCTTCTAAATACCAGGTTTCTGCATCAGGCTGTTCTAGATCATGGACTTGATTTCAATGATGGATTCACATTTTTTTTACCCAAATCCAGCTACATGTTGGCGTAGGGTCTTAAACATGACCGTTGCTTCGTGTAATCCCTCCCATTCTTCTTTCATTTTCTAATTTCTTTAAGGTCTAATGGCCAACAAGTTCAGAAATGATGTGAAAATTGTACAGAATAAAGATAAAGAGTGTTCAGAAGATTAATTCGTCACCTTCTGAGATCTTTGACAGTGAATTCTGAATCGCAGCGACTAGCCTTCCTCTCTGTGGGCAGACAGAGAGTATATGGAGAAAAACACCCCTCTTCCCCCTGTTTCATCATCCGAGACTAATGGATGTACCAGCAGGACCTTGACTCTAAACTGCAAACAGGATTCTTTGGGTTAGTGTGCCGCCCAAGCCCCACCAGCCGGAGAAGCCATTTGCCCAAATATCTTGGCCTTGCTTACTGCCAGGGTTCAAGAACATTTTGTCACAGTTGATTTTAAGAGATTAGACAGCTTTGCTTCTTTTTCTCTGGTCTTGACTCAGCACCTCATAGAGTATGACGTCCTGCTGTGTTCCCAGATAATACTAATCCTCCGTTTAAGAAAGTTACAGCAGTTTCTGTCATAAAGCTGAAGTCTACATGGAAATACTGATGCCACATCTTAGTTATGTTGAATTATTGTCAGCTGCTAAAATTCTGTTGGACGGAGAGTCAACGCCAGAAGTTTTGGCACCATTTTCCCACCACACCTTTCCGTGTGCCCAGGGGAGCTGGTAAGAATGGCAGCACTTAGACTAGCCCATGACGCCTTTCCAAAGCCCTGTCCTCAGTGAGGTTCATAAAGAGAGAGCCATGAGCTAACACACTGAGTGAAACCTCAGCATTAGATCATTTACATTAAACGCTCCTGTTAACTCGGGGCAAGTCTTAACTTTCGGCTGTGCAATAATTTATTAATTTGCACCGGACTGCTGGATGAAAAATGTCTCTGAATGGATTTAATTTCTTCTTCTCCTGCAGTTGCCAGAATGGCGCTCCACCTGC